CGTTTTTGTTTGGGGGGGGGGGGGTATTTCAAGTAAAAAGCACAGTTATTGTGCCAAGTAAAAATTGATTTTAATAATTTATCAACCATAACACAGCTTTTTTCCCCCCCAACAAAAAAAAACATGTCATGTGTCAAAAAAGGGACAGTGACACACCAAAGTGTACTGTTTTTGTCAAAAGGGGCATCTAGTTGTCATATCACTTCACTATAAAAAAATAAATAATAAATAAATAAAATATTAAAATGTAAAATTAAACAATTCATAAGAGAGCCAAACTCTCTCTGTGTGCAAACAGCGACAGACAATCTAAGAGAGAGACTTTATGAGATGAAAAAGGAACAGAACGTACCATTAATATTCTTTCAGTTCATTCCATATTGACGCAAATGACAGTAAGTGTCAGGGAACTGCTGGGGGAATGTCCATTTAGAGCTGTCAGTCTTCTGCTCTGACAGTTGGCAAATACACTCTGGACAAACACTCTCATTGACACCAGCCTTTATCTGGGCTCTGTGTACACATCACATGCCTGTAAACTTCCCATAAGGGCCATTAATCTGCGACATAATGTGACAATGTTTCTGCATTCAAAAATTTTTGTCACACAATGGCTCAATAAAAAAATTTTAAAAATAAAACACGAATGTATTAATCTCTGAAAACAGGCAGTACTCTGCAATCATTCAACTGGAAAATATTATTAAATATCTGAAAAAGGCATGTATGATCTACCTAATCCATGGTGGATAAGATTCCAGGTAAACATTTTAATTTCACTTTTCTGATATTCCAAAGACAAAGAGAGAGAGAGAGAGAGAGAGAGAGAGAGAGAGAGAGAGAGTGTGTCAAACAAAATATGGTTATTTTCTAACAAAAAATATATATATATTTTTTTTCAATAGAAAAGCTAGTTCATGCAAGTGGAGCAAATGAGAAACAGAAAAATGTGGAGTAGAGCCAGACCACATGGATTATAGAATGTTTGTCACTCAAATTATAGAACGCACTGGCTCCTTTTAGAAATACTTTTTTTTTTAACAATACAAAATGGCTGAATTAAACCGAAATAAACAAAAATATGATATGATACATACACTACAGTTCAAAATTTTGGGTCCTGCAAATTTTCTATAAAGAGTTTTCAAATTATGTTATTAACACAGATAATAATAATAATCATTTCATTATGAAGAATCATGTGACACTGAAGACTGGGGTAATGGCTGCTGAAAATGTAGCTATGCACCACAGAAATAAATTACATTTTAAATATATTCAAATATAAAAAGTTATTTTAAATTGCTATACAATATTACTGTTTTACTGTATTTTTGCTTAAACAAATGCAGCCTTGGTGAACAACTTTCAAAAACATTTAAAAAAAAAAATCTGAAACTGAACAATAATGTATAATAATAATCAAGACATCTATAGATATATATAAATTATATTGCAGTCTACACAGTTAAATATTGCCTGTGTAGTTAAAAAAAAAAGAAAGAAACTACTAATATATAATCCATTCAGCCTACTATTTTATTCCAGCCATCTCCTGGTCAAGAGCTTCTGAAAAAAAAGGGGGTTATAGTTTAGGTTATGTTTTGAAGTTTAATGGTGCTATGCTCAAATCTTTAGCAATAATTGCTAGCAATAGCGTAAACGACTGCAAGTTGTAACTCATTTACATAATAACTAGGCTTAGTCATAACCTACATACAGCTGGTGCAAATGGCCACAGTTCTTTATACACAAGGGTTGGACCTGCTCTTGACCTTGGTTATTTTATAATTGAGCATCAAAGAAGAGCTATTTCTAACCTCTCTGAGGGCGTTCATTTCAAATCATTCATACACGCTTTCTCATTAAAGCCAAGCGCCGAGAGAAAAGCAATGTTCATTTTCTGATATTGTACATCTGCTGTCAGAGGACGGCACTTAATGATCCACTGAGGGTAAACAGCAATTGTAATCTTATCTGAGATGAAAATCGCAGTCATTCACCTGTCTCTGCACCTGCAGTCTGTTTCACAGCTTACTGTAAAGGAGGAGCTTTGTTTGCTGCAATCCAAGAGTTTAGTTGATAGCACATGTATGACACTCACATCCTGGAAGTCAGACCGCTTACATACGCCTGAGATGGCATCATTAAAGAAAAGTATTGCATGTGTCAATCTCTTATAACAAAGGGTTGCTGGCGTTATCTTATCTGTCAGACAGTTTGAAGAGAAAAACAGGAAATATAATAAAAAAAAGTGTGGCATTTGGAAACTTACGTGTGAGGTCTCATTTTGCAAATAAAGCTAAGGACTGTGACATAATTACAGTTACTAGCTCAAAGTAGTTGTTCTATGAAAAGTGTTTGAGCCAAAGAGAAATGAGCATTAAACAGGTCAGGGGTACAAATATGGTCATGGTGTTAGTGCCTGGCATCAATCTAAACAGTGCTTTTGCACTTTCTTGATCTCTACAAATGTAACGTTTAGTGAAACACAACATAAATAGCTCTCAAATGTGTGTTTAATGGTCTGACAAGGTTCAATTAACCTGAGGACACTGCAAATCTATTCGCATAAACTGTAATACAGTACTTGAATAATAAACGCAGTTAAAAATATTTTCCAGCAGTGTCCAATTAACAATCACAACAGTGTTAAGAAAATCTATCTGGCATGCAGACAAATGATACTTGAATACTTGATTTTTTTTTTTTATGTGTTGCTTAAAGTGACATTTGTCTTTAATATATATGTAATAAATAAATCAATTCAACCAGCCTGAACTGATTTGGTGCTCTTACCCGATCTGATCAAGTCTCTTGGTTCTAAATGGTTTTGGGACACTTTTCAGCAGGTCAAGCCCAAAGACCACCACGCCAAGCACTGAAATCAGCTAAACACCAGCTTGGCCATTCTGAGAGATCAGCTTAAACCAGCTTAAACCAGCTTTGACTAGTATCTAATATTTCAATAGCAATGTTGCATTAGACAGAAGTAATTAAAGTTGTTGCTGCAACACAATAGCTGGACTTTGATAAGGACATGACTGGGACTAAATTGAATGAAATCAAGTACAGTGAACATCCGTAACTAACTATACATCAAAACCCCTCCCCTTTCGGTGGGGCACCACTGACAAAACCACACCTTCTAAGGGTCAATGGTGCATTTTCACCACCTTCATAACAGCCAGCACATTCTAACCCTTCTCATTGTCCTGAGGTAGACCCACCTCAGCTCAACACTAGAGGACTCTTTAGAGACACTGGGAGAGACACTATGTCAGGGGACGCATACCTGATGTTGCTCTCTATAGTAGCCTATTTATGTGTTCTCAACACTGAGGCTTATTCAGGGTAGGTTTTCTTTCTATCACTCTTATATTGTGTTTAACAAAGCTGAGTTTCTTAACATTTATTAACATTCCATTCATCACTTGCAGAGGTTTTCCACTCACTCTTCCTGACTGGAGATCAAATGCAGGTAAGAACTACACCAGCATAAATCCAGATGCCTCACTTCCATAAGGTTATAATTGTAGGCTGGTAACACTTGAAGCCTTTAAATATGGTGCATTATAAAAAGCATTTTTAAAGCATTAGTTATGCCTTGTAATGCACAATATAACGAGTTCTATGAATAAGTTTAATCATTGATGTTTTAAAAATATATTTTTAAAATATAATATTACATTGTTAATATTGTATAATAGAATATAATATACATTATAATATTTATGTATGCATTATTACACCTTTAGAAAATATATTGCATTAAAACATAATAAAATATAAAACATAATTTCAGATGTAACAAAGAATCTGCAAATATTATAATGCATTTTTAACTTACAATATTTATGAAAAGATAGCTTCAAGTGTTACTGAATGTATAATGCATTATGCAGGTATTCATAATGTATGTTATAATGCATTATATATATTTTATAAATAATTGTAACCAAAGTTAAAATGCATTATAATACATGAAGGGCTGTTTGTGTTTTAATGCATTATACATTCTAAATGTGTAACAATTAATAGGTAAGTGATATAATGTATTATAACAGTGGTTAAAATTACTCATAAAATAGTACAATGCATTATGATGTGCATTACAAGACATAATTAATGCAACATTTATAATGCATTATATAGAAAAGCTTTAAGTAAAGTGTCACCAACTTCTGTGGTACTGAAAAGAGGACCTGTTAGAAACCATGCTATCTTCTCTAATAGAAGCATCACACCGGTATGACCAATTTCTCGCAAGAGTGACTGTGGACACGAACATTTGTTATAACAATCCAAACAGAACTATGTTTTCGGTTTCTTTCTTGTTTTCGATTAGGTTCTTATTCTCATTCCACTTTTGTTTTTTATTGTCCTTTAATCACTTTTCCCTCCTGTGCTGTAGATTATTTCGCAAAGTGTGATTTTGGCAGTGATTTGCCGGCATCCTGCGATTGGACCTCTGAGGGACCCATCAGTGCTCAGACAGCAACAGGTAATTATACTGCTGAGACGAAATTGCTGCAGAGACAGTAACTGCTTTGTGTTTACAACCAATCCATTCACCTGCGGCAACAACAACAGCAGTTAATAGGTTTCTAACAGCACGTAGCAGAGCTTCTTTAAACTTCTTTTTCCTCAAATTACGTTATTCAACTTGACTTTCAAGTACGCTATTCACCGCATTCAACCACCTGTGTGAACAAGACATTGGTCGACATGCTACACTGTAAGAATTCGCAAAACACAAAGTACAGATCAGAGTCTAACTTGTGGCACATGTTGGCTTTGAGTCTGTAAGCAGGTGATTTGATAATTATTTATGACTGCATGCTTTTAGAGGTCAGTCTATGAACGATATGCAAGAATATAAGAGCAAACTCATTGTGTTTTGAGAAAAAAATATTCATAGTTCTGTATTCTGTACAAAACAGAGCTCTTTTTGGAGCTTTGTACTACTTCTAAGAACAGGGACAAGTAACAACAAGCCAGATTCGAACTTGCACAGTTCACATAAGCACCAGAGCGCTATGTATCAGGATACATGTTACCCACAAGCACTGTTTTATTATTACAAAAGTGTAAATTACAAACTTGTGAAGGCTTACATTTTTATAGTAAACAAAAACTGACAAGACGGACATCATTTCAGCAGCTCTCTTGCAAATCATTTAAATTTACACTTGATTTGTCTTTTTGTCTATGTGTTATAGAGGAAACATCTCTCCATCCTGAGAGTCCATCTGGTGCGTTTCACCTCAAGAGTGGATTTCTTAAGATCTCAGAAGACTCCTGTCTGGAGTTCTGGTACCATAAACCTAACAAGAAGAGTTCTGAACTCAAAGTTTTGCTAGAGGGTGATATTCTGCAAACATTGATTTGGACCTCAGAGACATCTAGCACTGGAGACTGGAGACAAGTCTTCATCCCTCTCAAAAAGCAGTTTGACAAAGACAACATCCAGGTACAGCAATTTAAATATTCATATTTAGGTTTTGGGCATCTTTGTGGAGAAAGATAGCAGATAATATTAAAAGGTCATTTAAAAAAAAAAAAAAGAATTTCCATGTGTTTTAACTGTGTATCCAGAAAGTTAGAACATTTTGCAGCCAATGAAACCAACAAAACAATTAATTATCATGCCGGCGGAAACAAATTATTCTATCATTCATAATCTGCTGTTGTCTAACCTTTTAATTTGTGCAAAAATCTAAAAAAAAAAAAACTTTTTGTGGCAAAAATTTTTGGATAAGCAATACAGATACAAAAATAACTCCATGCAGTTCACCAACGGAGACTGATTAAGTAGGAAGTAACCCCCTTGAAAAACCTCCAGAATTTTACTTCTAGACATATGCATTGTAAATTAAGCTGTCTGCCATCTAAAAACACAACATGAATTTCTGTAAGTTGTTTGATAAGAAAGCATCTGTGAAAATAATGAGCACAATAGTAATTGTAGTAATTTAAAAACGTTTGTGTCTTGAGTGATGAACCTTTTGCAGGCACTGAAGAATCACTATTACTCCCTGCAACTGTAATTGTGTTCTCTGGCAGGTTGTTTTTGAGCTATTAAAAGGTCTGCAAGATGATGAACAAACTGCCTTTGACAGAATAGGAATACGGAAGGGACAATGCGGTGAGTGACATATGATTATTATTATTTTGACCTAGTACATCACTTACCAACATACAAACATCCTCAAGCTAAATTCACCATATTTATTGGCCTTTGGGAAATAGTAAAGTGTTAATATATCATCCACAGGGCCACAATGTCAGCGAGGAGGCACATTTTGGACTGATAAAAGCACTCGCTGCACTTGCACTGATGAGCACCTCATCTGTTCTCACGTCCCTCGGTCCAAAGATACTTTTGGCACCTGCCATGTGGCCTCTGACCCACACTACACTACTTTTGATGGGGTCAGCTTCCAATTTGAGAGTCCTTGTACCTACGTCTTGTCAAAGGTCTGCGATGACTCAGGGTTGCTTCCTGAGTTTGCAGTGGAGGTGCAAAATGAGAATAAAGGGCACTCGCGCATATCTTCCATTCAGCAAGTGAACATCAATGTACATGGTCTGAGAGTGACCATGGTGAGGACCGAGAGGACAAAAGTCATGGTGAGCTTTTCAACCACAATGAATGATGATTAGATAGAACATATTTGTCTTTTGTCTTAAGTTTGACTTTAACAACAATAACTTTAAGTTTGTTCATTAGATTAGATTTGGAGGACTTTAGCATTACATCACTTGCTCACCAATGGATTCTCTGCAGTGAATGGGTGCCATGAGAATGAAAGGCCAAACAGCTGACAAATACTCACAATAATCACAATAATCCACAAGTAATCCACATGACTCCAGTTCATCAATTAGCATCTTGTAAAGTGAAAAGCTGTGTTTTAAGAAACAAATCCATTAAGGTATTTTAACTTTAGACACTCACTTCTGCCACTTAAACCATTCTGACGGCACCCATTCACTGCGGAGGATCCATTGATGAGAAAATTATGCAATGATGCAAATTATGCTAAATTCCTCCAGATCTGTTCAAATGAAGAAACAATCTCATCTACATCTTGGATGGCCTGAAGGTGGGCAAATTTTCATTTTTATGTGAACTACTCATTCAACCACTTTCCACTGTTGTCCTAATCAGGTTAATGGGATTTGGAAGAATCTCCCTCTACTTCTGCAAGGAAACAGAGTTACGGTTAATGCCCAGGGAGATGCTTTGGTCCTTCAGACAGACTTCAAACTGTCCGTCTTCTACTTGAGGTCCGGTGCCGTTCAGGTGATTGTCCCCAGCCATTACTCAAACAGAATCTGTGGCATGTGTGGCAACTTTAACCACGAGACAGAAGATGACATCAAGATCCCAGACAGGTCACTGATGCAGGACACGCATGTTTTAGGGCAGAGCGTGTGTGAGGAACCCACCCTCCCCAGGGTCTGTACAGATGCAGAGGAGCAGAAGTATGCCAGCGAGGTTTACTGCGGCATGCTAACATCCAGACAAGGGCCATTTTCAACGTGCTCATCTGTTCTGAATGCAGATAGTTTCTTCCGAAGCTGCATGTTTGATATGTGTACAACTCACGGAGATCCTGCAGCCCTCTGCAATGCCATTGAGGCCTTCAGTGCCACCTGCGACAAAGTTGGGATCTCTGTTCTGGCCTGGAGGAACACAACATTCTGTCGTATGTACTTAAAATTATCTATAAAAAAAAACATTCTGGTCATAAACTCGACTGTATTGATCGATAAAGAATTTTGTCACAGTAATGCACCCACAATGGAAGTCTATGAGGCTTTTTGGCCATGATTTATGCAGTTAAAAAAAAAAGTGTATTATTTGATCTGTAAAGTTCTCCTTTTTAAATGGACTTTAATATGTGAATGAACATTTGATTATGCATTACTAATGCAATTTCTGATGGTGGAGTTTGGTCCATGTAAAAAGTGCACCAGGATTAACCAATATTATGGTCGATACTGATAAGTCAGTAATTACTTTTGGGTGATGACCAATAAATAGCTGACATTATAAATTATTTCATTTAAAAAAATTACTACATGTGAATTTTAGGCATCACATTATGATGTATAATATGAAATATAGACAAATATTCCTTTAGAAATCTCCTATAGAACCACAATTATTATTCAGGCTTTGGCTGTCCATCAGAGTTCCATAACGAACCGAAAATATTTTTACACTTGTCTTAACATAAAAGACATTTCTTTGGCAAAGCATCTGTAAATTGTGATATGGCTTAGTGAGGTTATTTAAATAGCAAAATGTTGCAATTGAATTAAATAAGTATTTTGTCTGCATGTTTTAGAGTGAAACGCATAACTGTGTTGATGCAAGCAGCTCATGGTCCAGTTTCAACGTCTCAGTTCACAGCGAACTCAATATTTGAATGTGTTGGTTACTATTTAAAAAGAAAACACTAAATAATATACCCGTAATTAAATATTCATTTGTAATTAATTTACAGTGTAGTTGAATTATAATATTAAGATAATATTAATAATTTTACTCTAAAAATGCACCAGATTGATGCATTTAACTTTAAAATATCTCAAATTTTCTTCACCCCCCCAAAACCACCTAGAGAGACTGAGGTCCACCCCCCTATAGTCTCACAAATCCTGGGTTAAATCTTTGCCATAATATATTGTTATCCCTTCAAGTTTGTAATATAACCCTTTAAATCTCAAAAATAGGCATCAAGAAGTATATGTGAAACTGGCCTTGAACTCTATCAAAATGCATCCGACCTTCAATATTAGTTTAAAGCCTTAGTATCTCCTCTCCACCCAAATCTATGAAACAATAGAGACAAGCGATTCGAGTACTGCCAGTATTATTAGGCTAATCATAAATATAAATTAAGGCTTGACATGTCAGATCAGATTACCTGATTTGAGCCACTGTTGAGCAAATGGCCTATCTCAGACCTCTCTGTAATCAGTAGTGCGGTCTCCACCTAACAACCCACACAGAAGTACTAGACATAGTGACTGGTTATTAATTAATCATCTCCCACACCTTCACCAGCTGACCCGTAACTTTCCATTACAAACCACAAAGGCACTGAGAAACATATTGTGAATCTATAAGTCAGATTGTTTATGTTTGATTCTTCGGGTTTCTGTTTTAGCTGTGGCGTGTGGCCCTCACAGCCACTATAACGCCTGTGCCAGCGGCTGCCCTAAGACCTGCTCCAGCCAGGATGCTACAGGGTCTTGTGGGATATGTGAGGAGCGCTGTGAGTGTGACGATGGCTTCATGCTCAGCGGAGGAGCATGCGTATTAGCTGAAGACTGTGGATGTTGGGCAAATGGACAGCATTATTTGGTACAGTAGCTTAGCCATCTTATTGTTATCATCACATCATTATAGATAGATAGATAGATAGATAGATAGATAGATAGATAGATAGACAGATATATAGACAGATAGATAGACAGATAGACAGACAGACAGACAGGCAGGCAGGCAGGCAGGCAGGCAGATTTAAGCTCTTAATTTAACTCTAAAACGTACAAAATTCTCTTCCAGAATTCAAGTTTTATATATTTTTTAAAATGCGTGTTTTTTTTTTAAATGTTACGCATGCATATACAAACAATTCAGTTAAAGCATCAGTAAACTATTATAGAATTTTAGTTAATACACATTATATTTTACTGAAATATTTCTGTATATTTTACTAAAATAGTATAGTTAATCTTTCTCTTCCTGTCCTATCTAGATCAGAGAGACATTTATGGAGGGTGAATGTGAGCAACAGTGCCAGTGTTTGGGCAATGGGAACATTCAATGTTCACCTACATCCTGCAAAGCTGATGAAGTATGCATGGTTAAGGACGGAGTCTTGGGTTGCTTTCCATCCAGCCCGGTGACCTGCAGAGTCTACGGTGACCCCCATTACATCACTTTCGATGGCAAGGCCTACTCCTTCTGGGGCACTTGCAACTACACCATAGCAAAAACCTGCGGGGTTACTGAAACCCAGTTCACAATAACGGCACGAAATGAGGGACAGAACAACTCTGCAACTTCCTCTCTTAACTCTGTAGCTCTTGATATGGAAGGCCTACATATTGTCATCGGAAAGAACAAGCAGGTTTATGTGAGTGTCTTGTTTTTGTCATTCATTTGGATTTGACCATACTATCAGTGTGTGTACTGACTTAATGTATTCAGTTACACCACAAACATGCAATACATATTAAAAAATAGAAAAAAATATTAACTGATTAACCATTTGAGGTATCATTAGTGTACGTACGGCATGAGTTACAAAGGAATCATATCATGAGGAATGAAATCTTGATTCTTGACATACTATGAAAACATACAAACATTTCAGAACTCAAAACTGCCTAGTCCAAAGAAATTCCAATCTGCAAAAATGGCAACTTTGTAACACCATAAAGATAAATCCATCAGCACATGACCATCCATATTTACACATCAATCTGGAGATTGTGCATGTCATCAGAAACTAGAAAGATAGCAGCAGAGAACAAGAAAAGCAAACAAATTAGAGTACAATTAGGGTAAGTTTGTGATGCCTCCTCATTGTTTTCCACGTAGCACTTATCTTCTAATAGTACGCACTTACCACGTAGCACTTATGTACCTAATCATTCATGATATACATGGGCAGTTCATGGAAAGAAATGTGGGCAGGAGCTGCCATCTAAAATATATGACCCATAATTAGTGTTTACAGTAAGTAAAATGTTCATATTCTAAAGGTAAGTGATAAGAGACGTGTTTGCTTATGACGTATATCTTTCAATGATAACATTTGAGGAGTGTCCTGATAGTGACTTCTGCTTCACATAATAAGGCCTCTGGCAAAGATATGTAGCTGCAGTACTACAGATCTAAACTTGTTGCATTTTTTAACCAAAGTATTCATCACCATGTTATGAGTAACATGACCCTCTCTGGCCCTCACACTGAAGATAAAACAATGTGCCAACAAATGAATGACCCAGTTTTAATTTTACAAATCTAAGCATATTTTTATGATTAGCATGATGATTTGGGATAGTAATCAAATATCCCTTATCAAACATTTTCTAAAATAGTTTCCAGCAGAATACTAAACTTACTCTAGTTATTTTTTACTACAATACAACTGTGCCAACTTAGCATCAGCTGCCAGAAACATAAAAAAAAAATAATAATAAATAACAGAAAGATTTTGAAAGCATCGGTTTGAAGAAGATTACACTACTACAAGAAATGTATCATGATATCATGTTAGTAACAGGATGAATCATATTTTGGCAGAATCTATGGCTATCATAGTAAATTTCGTATACCTCCTTTCCCCAGTCTTAAAACCTGAACCTCACAAAAACTCTTTCAAAACCAGACACTATCTCAATGTAAAAATGTAAAGAAAAAAAATAAGACATTATATTTTGCTTATAGCTTATTGTAGGACCATTGAAGGTTTTCCATAGTTACATGAATTTTAAGACATTTACCTCAAAATATCATTATTGTACTACAAAAGTCATTAAAAAAGCTGCATAGGGAAACAAAAACTGCAGTATTATAGTATAAATAGTAGTAATAGTAATAGTAGTTACAGTAAACTGAATTTAAAATACAGGCAATTTAAGTATACAGATAGATAAATAGATAGACAAAAGCACATCAAAAATGTAAAATATCTGCCTAAATTAATGCTGATTAATTACCGAACATAAGATAATCAATAAAAAAAATATATGTACTGTAAATAAATGTAAATCGTAACGGTCCTAATCTAGGCCTCATTTCCTCGAAAGGTTTGATGACATACTGTATACTCAAAAAGTTCCTTACCTTGACACATATGTTTTTCTTCACTCCAGGCAAACGGTGGTCAGGTTCGCCTCCCTGCGGAGTTTGGTTCCTCTGTGTCTGTGTTTCAGTCGGGACCCTACGCTCAGGTTAATACAAACTTCGGTCTGAGGCTGCTGTTTGGAAACGCCAGGCTGTTCGTTCAGGTGGATGAACGCTACAGAGGAGTATTGTGCGGCCTGTGCGGGACCTACTCCGGGAGTCAGTTTGACGACTTTCTGACACCCGAAGGCAACACAGTAGCGAATCCGCACGAGTTCGCCAGCAGCTGGAATACCGACGACAGCGATTGGCCGTAAGAATTTGGAATCCTCACAAAAATTATATTGATTCCTAAAATATAAATCTGAATTGATAAAGATAGACAAACAAACTGATATTGTGCAATGATACTGACAGATGTTGCACCTCAGTGATTTAAAGGATTATTACTCAACTCAGACACCAAATTGAAATAAAAGAAACATAAAAGTCGTGTTGACAGTTCTGTAAAATGAGCAGACTGAAAGTGATGTTGTTACTCTCTACAAATGACATCCACTCTTGCTCTTCTTCTTGGCGTGTTTATGAGAGTTCGCAAGCCGCTTCGTGAACGAGTCATTCTTTTTTCAGTCGGATCTTTTCAATGGCTGATTCTTTTCACAAAAATTCAGTTCACGAAGCGACTCACTGACTCACCGATCCAGTGTTATGGGAAATAGGAAAGTAGCAGCAGCCTAACTGAATCATGGAATGTGAAATACAAAGAGGCAAAAAGCTTTGGCACACTATTAAAATTAAGTAATTTGTTTTGTTTTGTTTTTTAATTTTCTGTGATAAAAAGCAACATTGTAATATCAAATAAAGACATAATATTCAGTTTTTTATACCTTTTTTCCAGTTGCAGTAATGGCTCTCCAGACCCCCCTGAGTGTCATCCAGGCCTGGAGGATGATGCATATACAAAGTGCAGTGAACTGTTTGAAGATGCTTTCAAAGAGTGCCACTGGTTTGTTCCACCACAGATTTATGTCAGCAGCTGCGTTTCTGATTACTGTATTTCCAAGGGTGACAAAGCTCAGCTCTGCACCTCTTTGGAGGACTATGTGTCTGCTTGTGAAATAGCTGAGGTGTTTCTGCCACACTGGAGGAATCACACCTTGTGTTGTAAGTGATTAGTAAAAAAATTATCATAAATATGCTAACTTCATATTTGTCTTATTCAAATGTTTGTCCTATTCAAATAATGAATAAATCGTTTTCATAGATTTTTTTCAGTATATTAAATTAAAAAATATATATATTTTTTTTTTTTTCCATAGTTGCCGATCCACTGCCAACAGATGACCCCACACCAACTCCATCTGCAGCAAGTAAGCAGTATTTCTTCTATCTATCTGTCTTTCTTCTTTTTTCTATATTTATTTTAATTATTTTGTCATTACACAGGTTGCCCATGGAGCTGTAACTTTGACCAGGATGAATGTGACTGGGAACAACTTATCCAAGACAGTTTTGATTGGACCAGATGGTCAGGGTCAACGCCATCAAACTTCACTGGGCCAGCCGGTGACCACACCACAGGAAGTAGGTTTTCTGTGCAAATTGGTTTATACAATCTAAAGTAGACTATGGGATTCTGATGGCATTGGGGAAAACTCAAAAAAAAAAAAAAACTGTGTTGACTGCCCTATTCACCTCTCTGACTCTCTGACTGTTTTATATAGGTGGCTATTACATGTATATTGAGGGGGATAGTGTGTTTTATGGCGACTCAGCCCGAATAATGAGCCCTGTCTGCCACACTTCTGGCAAGCAGTGTTTGAGCTTCTGGTTTCACATGTATGGCCTGGCAAATGCTATGTTACTCAACCTCTACATATTTGAGAACAATCGTGCCTTAAAAATATGGTCTAGAACTAACAACCAGGGCAACAGTTGGTACCAAGGCCAGGTTGAAATCAAACCACAACAGCCATTCCAGGTATGTTACTCTATGTGCATATCCCAAGTAGAGTCAATGAATTTAGAGGACAAAAGATGATGTGCTCTAGGCAGATATGTTAAATATGATAAGTGATTGTTTGTTGTTTCAGATCATCATTGAAGGCATCAGGGGCTCAAATCCTCTCTCAGATGTGTCCATAGATGATGTGTCCATAATGCATGGTGCATGTGACCGTAAGTGTTGTAGATATTAATCTATTACAGACTGATCTTTAAAAACAGTTTGAAGCTTTTTTTTTTTTGTGGCATGATCAATGACTACTTTCAGTGTTTTTTTGTTTGTTTTTTTGCTTTGCTAGTCTTAAAAAATACTACTTCACTACTTCAGACTCTACTTCAGAAATGTTGTTGTTAACTGGATATTTATTTATTTTATTTTTATATTTTAAATATAATATTTTTGTATATTTCAATTATAATATTACAACAAGCTCCAATTAATTTTATCTCAAAACATTGGCAGATTTGTCTGCAGAAGATTTGGACTTGACAACTCTGGCACCCCATCCATCTACTCCAAACTTAAAGGACCCCCATCCAAGTAAGACTTCTAATAATAATATTAATGTTAATGTGATGTAAGATAAGATATTAACACATTATTCATAGGTAATTGTTCCTGTAAGTGTTTTTGTAGTTTCTGCAGAGGACATGAGTTTGATTCTTATGGAATGCATGAACTGATCAAATGTACAGTATACCTTCAAAGCAATTAAAACATAAAGGTGTCTTGTGAATATAAATGTAAAGTGGATGGATTGTGAAAAGTGGGAGTTACACACAAAACGAGAGAAAATTAAAAGTAACATGGATTTGTGAGATATCAGACATCACTTTATAGTTTTGATGTTTAAAAACACGGTCACATGCATCATCTTTGTGGATCAGAGTATGGTTAACTGCTTGGCATGATGATTATATGGTTAACTTGTTTTGTCAGATTGCAGGATGAACTGCGATTTTGAAAGTGACATCTGCAGTTGGACTCAAATGGTGACTGACGTTTTTGATTGGACAAGACACAAAGGCTCCACCCCCACATCAATGACTGGTCCCTCCTCTGACCACACAACAGGAAGTAGGTTAATTTCACATATTATTTCACATATTGGTCAAGTTTTTGACCGTTTTCCTAATCAAATGTCTCCTTTTCCTGGTCCAGGTGGGTTTTATATGTACATTGAGGGTGACAGTGCTGTCCATGGTGATACGGCCCGTCTACTCAGTGCAGAATGTGCTGATCCTCAACCTCAATGTCTTCAGTTCTGGTATCACATGTATGGCTCCAGCTGGACCATGGGACTGAGCGTCTACCTGCTGCAATATGGCAATGTGGCCAAAGAGGTGTGGAGAATGAGAGAAGACCAAGGAAACATGTGGCATCTTGCACGGGTGGACCTGAGACCAGATGTTAAGTTCCAGGTCAGTGAAAGTTTGAAAACTTATGTATCAAATCTTCTTTGAATGCTCCATGGTAAAGTAAACATAAAAAACTTTTTATCAGTTTAATATGAGGTGCAGGCTTTAACTTTTTCTGTATACTATTAATTTAATTATATTTTGCCAAAAATGTTTAATCAGTTTTATTTCAAAATAAAACAAATCTCTGTTATTGTTCTATCAGGTGATCTTTGAGGGGCGTAGAGGAAGCTCAGCTCGGTCAGATGTTGCCATTGATGACGTCTCACTGCACAGAGGAGCCTGTATCGGTATGTTTCTACTCTTCCCTTAGTAAAAACATTCAGCTTTAAAAACAGGCCAACTTACTCAGCAGAACGACGACTTCGTTTTGCATAAGGGTTCTTAACTTAATGTGTTAACTGTTGTAAATATCTTTCAGATTTACCAATCCAGGTGGCTCCACCTTCAGTCCCATTGCCACCAGCTGCACCAATCCAACATAGAGAAATTCCAAACGCTTCAGCTTGTAAGTTCACTATCCACCACCGCAGTGTGATTACATTGTTATGATTCATGATGTCATAACACTCACACAGTTAATTATCTGCACCTTCCATTCTTTTCAAAAAGACACTAATGAAACCGTTACTGAAATGTACTTCTTTCCTCCAGCTTGTAGCATCAACTGTGATTTTGAAAGAGACATTTGTGCTTGGACTCAGTTGGCGACCGATGTTTTTGATTGGACAAGACACAGAGGCTCCACCCCCACATCGATGACTGGTCCCTCCTCTGACCACACAACAGGAAGTAGGTCTTGATTTCTAGGTCTTGAAGTCATTAGATCATTTTAAGATCAAAATCGTAACAATTATTTAACAAATTATATATGTGTGTTGCACAACTTCTTTTCCAGGTGGGTTTTATATGTACATTGAGGGTGACAGTGCTGTCCATGGCGACACGGCCCGTCTCCTCAGTGAAGAATGTGCTGACCCTCAACCTCAGTGTCTTCAGTTCTGGTACCACATGTATGGCTCCAGCTGGACCATGGGACTGAGCGTCTACCTGCTGCAATATGGCAATGTGGCCAAAGAGGTGTGGAGAATGAGAGAAGACCAACGAAATATGTGGCATCTTGCACGGGTGGACCTGAGACCAGATGTCAAGTTTCAGGTCAGTGAATCTTCTTGGAATGCTTTATATGTTAAATTAAATGCAATACACTATAACTACAAATATTTGAGCAGTGACATTTAGGAGACATAGAAAAATCTGTTATTGATCTATCAGGTGATCTTTGAGGGGCGTAGAGGAAGCTCAGCCCGGTCAGATGTTGCCATTGATGACGTCTCACTGCACAGAGGAGCCTGTAGCAGTATGTTTCTACTCTGCACTTAGTAAAAGCTCCACCTTCAGTCCCATTGACAAAACCTGTACCCATCCAACGTAGAGAGATTCCAAATGCTTCAGATTGTAAGTTCATTATCTACCACCGCAATGTGATTACATTATGATTCATGATGTCATAACACTCCCACAGTTAATTATCTGCGCCTTCCATTGTTTTCAGAAAGACACTAATGAAACCGTTACTGAAATGTACTTCTTTCCTCCAGCTTTTCTGGTACCACATGTATGGCTCCAGCTGGAGCATGGGACTGAGCGTCTACCTGCTGCAATATGGCAATGTGGCCAAGGAGGTGTGGAGAATGAGAGAAGACCAAGGAAACATGTGGCATCTTGCACGGGTGGACCTGAGACCAGATGTCAAGTTCCAGGTCAGTGAATCTTCTTGGAATGCTTTATATGTTAAATTAAATGCAATACACTATAACTACAAATATTTGAGCAGTGACATTTAGGAGACATAGAAAAATCTGTTATTGTTCTATCAGGTGATCTTTGAGGGGCGTAGAGGAAGCTCATCCCGGTCAGATGTTGCCATTGATGACGTCTCACTGCACAGAGGAGCCTGTAGTGGTATGTTTCTACTCTGCTGCAGCCCTTAGTAAAAACATTAAGCTTTAAAAATAGACCAACTCACTCAGTAGGACGACGACTTCATTTTGCAAAAGGGTTCTTAACTTAATGTGTAAATATTCAGATTTAACAGACCAGGTAGCTCCATCTTCAGTTCCATTGCCACCAGCTGCAACAATGCCACAACCTGCACCCATCCAAACTGCAGAAATACCAAACACCTCAGCTTGTAAGCTCACTATCCGCCACCGCAGTGTGATCACATTCTGATTGATGATGACATAAAATAACATTCTAACCATTAATGCTCTACACCTTCCATTGTTTTCAGAAAGATGCTGATGAAATTGTTAATGAAATTCACTTCTTTCCTCCAGCTTGTGGCATCAACTGTGATTTTGAAAGAGACATTTGCACTTGGACTCAGTTGGCGACTGATGTTTTTGATTGGACAAGACACAGAGGCTCCACCCCCACATCAATGACTGGTCCCTCCTCTGACCACACAACAGGAAGTAGGTCTTGATTAACAGATCTTGAGATCTTGAGTTGACCTTCCAAAATATATCAGTTATTTCACATTAATAAATTGATAGTTGTGTTGCACAAATTCTATGACAATTCCTCTCCTTAAGAGTCTCCTGATCCAAATTTCCAGGTGGGTTTTACATGTACATTGAGGGTGACAGTGCTGTCCATGGCGACACGGCCCGTCTCCTCAGTGCACAATGTGCTGATCCTCAACCTCAGTGTCTTCAGTTCTGGTACCACATGTACGGCTCCAGCTGGACCATGGGACTGAGCGTCTACCTGTTGCAATATGGCAATGTGGCCAAAGAGGTGTGGAGAATGAGAGAAGACCAAGGAAACATGTGGCATCTTGCACGGGTGGACCTGAGACCAGATGTCAAGTTCCAGGTCAGTGAATCTTCTTGGAATGCTTTATATGTTAAATTAAATGCAATACACTATAACTACAAATATTTGAGCAGTGACATTTAGGAGACATAGAAAAATCTGTTATTGTTCTATCAGGTGATCTTTGAGGGGCGTAGAGGAAGCTCAGACCAGTCAGATGTTGCCATTGATGACGTCTCACTGCACAGAGGAGCCTGTAGCAGTATGTTTCTACTCTGCACTTAGTAAAAACATTCAGCTTTAAAATCAACTCAACTTACTCAGCAAAATGACTACTATGTTTATCTTGCACGAGTGGACCTGAGACCAGATGTCAAGTTCCAGGTCAGTGAATCTTTTTGGAATGCTTTAAATTTTAAACACGCTAAACTATGACTAGAAATATTTGAGCAGAGACATTTAGGAGACAAAGAAAGATGTGTTATGGATCTATCAGGTGATCTTTGAGGGGCGTAGAGGAAGCTCAGACCAGTCAGATGTTGCCATTGATGACGTCTCACTGCACAGAGGAGCCTGTAGCGGTATGTTTCTACTCTGTGTCGGCCCTTAGTAAAATCATTCAGATTTAAAAACAAGTTAACTTGTTTTTAAAGGTTTATTTACTTTATGTATTAACAGTTGTAAATATGTTTCAGATTTACCAAACCAGGTGGCTCCACCTTCAATCCCATTGACAAAACCTCTATCCATCCAACGTAGAGAAATTCCAAACACTTCAGCTTGTAAGTTCACTATCCAGCACCGCAGTGTGATTACATTCTGTTGTGAATGCTGTTGCTATAAAATAACACTCCCACAATTATTTGTTGCATCTTCCATTGTTTTCAGAATAAGAATATTGAAACTGTTAATGTCATTTGCATCTTTCTTCCAGCTTCTGTCATCAACTGTGATTTTGAAAGAGACATCTGTGCTTGGACTCAGTTGGTGACTGATGTTTTTGATTGGACAAGACACAGAGGCTCCTCCCCCACATCAATGACTGGTCCCTCCTCTGACCACACAACAGGAAGTAGGTCTTATTTTCTAGATCTTCAGGTCATTCTACCATTTTAACTTCAAAATCATAAGATGAATTATTTTGCATCATTAAATTAATAATTGTTTTGCACAACTTCTTTTCCAGGTGGGTTTTATATGTATATTGAGGGTGACAGTGCTGTCCATGGTGACACGGCCCGTCTCCTCAGTGCAGAATGTGCTGATCCTCAACCTCAGTGTCTTCAGTTCTGGTACCACATGTATGGCTCCAGCTGGACCATGGGACTGAGCGTCTACCTGCTGCAATATGGCAATGTGGCCAAAGAGGTGTGGAGAATGAGAGAAGACCAAGGAAACATGTGGCATCTTGCACGGGTGGACCTGAGACCAGATGTCAAGTTCCAGGTCAGTAAAAGCTTGATAACTACTGCTTCTGATCTTCTGTGAATGCTCGAAGTTAAGTAAACATTCCTAAACTTTTTTTCAGTTTAATATGAGCTGTAGCCTTGAACTTGTATATACTGTATCTTAATTATTTTGGCAAAAAAGTGGCATTTAGTAAAGAAAAACCTCTGTAATTGGTCTATCAGGTGATTTTTGAGGGGCGTAGAGGAAGCTCAGCCCGGTCAGATGTTGCCATTGATGACATCTCACTGCACAGAGGAGCTTGTAGCGGTATGTTTCGCCTGGGTCTGGAGGCCCTTAGTATAAACAGCCTAACGTGTTAAGTGTTGTTAATCGATTTAATAGACATATTATCTGAATCCAATACCTAAGGATGTCAGTGAAACCTCTCTCTCTGTCTCTTCAGAGATCACGATCTCAGACACGTATGGAAATTCTGACAGCATAAGCAAAAATAACATGATAAAGCCAATCGAGGAGGTGGCAAAGAAAGAGAGCTGGAAAGCAACAGATGACAAAATCACAGCAAGACGGAGGTAGAGAGCCTTTTTTATATATACTGTATATATAAATTATTTACGATGAATTCAATATGATTATGAATTGATTAACAGCCATGTATATATGTGAGAGAGGCATTATTAAATACTTTTTTGCAGTGCATGTTACATAGTTAAACATTTATGTAAGACATTTGCTGTATTGCATGTTTTGTTTTAATATCTGTCCTCCTTTCTGCTCATATATAATATATGAGGAAAATTATGCATCTGTTTAAGAACCACTGTTGTTAGCTGTTTGTTTTTTGTTTTTTTGTAACAAATATTACTGACATCAGTTCATTTGCCTATGATCTTTGGTATGCAGGCGGTCCCTGCTGTTTAGGGAACGTTCTTGGGCTTGAGATGAAACACTGCGAGGCAACCCATTAGCTGAAAGCACCTGTCATTTGTCAACATGAACCCACTCAACATCATAGCTCATGAACTACTCAGACCAGTTTTAGCAAGATCATTTGCTGTGTAAGTGTTGTTTACCTAGGAAGTATCTCTTATCACCTCTAATGTAATCATTTCATATTATGATTTACACATAACACCATTGAAAGATATGGCGTTTTCCTCTAATATCACAGTGGTTTTTCTTCCTCAAGTTCACGTGTCTCTTAGCAGAGTAAGCACATTATATTAACTATGAGAATGTCCATACATCCACAGAACATGAATACTTATTTTAATTTTCAACAGTTAATCTATTGTTTTATCATTTATAAAACTAGCTAACGTCTTTTTACTGAATGTATTATGTGCATGGATGTTATCTGTGAGTCAGTGTTTTTGTCTTTCATTTAATAAACATTAATTTCATTCGGTAAACCTTCTGAAGGTCCTGTTATTTTTCAACTTTGAATCTTTGTATGATTCTGCACATTATTTAGATGTTGCATAATTGTTTTCCAGCATTCCTGTCATACTTGCAGATTTTAAGTGTAATGAGAAGTGACTTTTATATACAGCAAAACCTGCTTAGCAAGATGCAGATGCAAAACAGTATGTAGCCTCAAGAAATTTCAGCAGCTCTATTTAAACATGTAGTGAAGTGGCAGTAAAGTGAGTTGAGTTGGACACATTTACCTGAACAGGATGAAGGTTTTAGTTGTCCATTTCTGGCTTCTCTTACTGCTTCTGTACCAAAGAAAGAAGAACCTGGCATCAGGTAAGTCAGACACTCTCCAGGTCATCTGCATGTGTACACGTGTTCTGTGAGAATCTACAATAAACTCACATAAGATAGCCACAAAGTAAAACCTCCCTTTTTTGAAGGCAAGACACTCAATTTTGTTTCTATGACACATCTTTTTTTATACTAGCGGAAAGAACATTTCCAAACCATACATTCAAGTGTTTCCTTTATTATACTGAATCTATTTGTATCTATTTGTGTCTGTAGATTTTTATCTAAAGTAGTAGTATTTCATGTGATTCATGATACCAACATTTTACATAGCTGTGAAATTTCACAATTCTTGATTCCAATTTCGATACCAAAGCAAAAACTGCTAGCCTAGCTATAAATTTTAAACACTATTAAATAGAAACCCCTTAAAATGAGAACAACTAAACAAATTACAAGTGATAACAACATAATAGAACAAAGATACAAATTAATCAAACTGGTTTACATTTTTCAGGTATGTATAACAGTAGAAAACAGTACAAAAATGTAATAATCAAATGTAAAACAACATAATCTTTACTGTATAAATTAAATATTAATCCTTATTCAGCAGCACTTACATACACCAAATTCTCCCGTTTTATTCCTATCTATATTCTGTGTTCTGACTACAATCAGACATGCAATCGGAGTAAGACTAAATACTGTCAACACATTAACACAACACATTAATACAATAAATAATAATTGTCAAAAAAATTGATTTTGCATTCAAATTCGAGATAAAGTACTGTGTTAACAATAAAAAAAAAATTAAAAAAAAGGATTGTTTAAAAACAGCCTGGGGCCAAAGCTCTTCAATGTCATAGAACAGGGTTCCGCAAATCTTGCCCTGGAAGGCAAATGCACTGCAGAGTTTAGCTCCAACCTTGATCAAACTCGCCTTATCGGAATCTAATGATTCCGAAGACATTAATTAGCATGCTCAGGTGTGTTTGATTAGGGTTAGAGCTAAACTCTGCAGGAAAGTGGATCTCGTGGGCCAGAATTGAGGATCCCTGTCATAGAAGCTCCCCGGTACTGCTTTTTAACCACTATAGGGCAGTACATCATAAGAAGTGACAAAATGTAAAAGGTACTGGTGTATAGTTTTTTTGCGGTAGGTTTTTGTGCCTTACAAAGAAATTTTACAAAATTTATAATGATATCCAAACTAAATCCTGCTTGAATCAGTTTAGTCTTTTTCAATGATTAAACAAACTGCATCAGACTCAGTGACTAATGGATTTTTCCCCCCACACCATTCCATATTTCCAGCTTCACCACCAAACTCAACATCTATACCATCAATACGTTCACAAACAGCATCAACAGCCTCATCACTTCAGTCACATCCAACATTCCAACAGTTTTCAGTGCCAACCTCACCATCATCACCACAGTCATCATCCTCACCAACCATTAAACCATCATCATCATCCTCATCTTCTACACCATCAACAAAATCCTCTTCATCTTTACCAGTGTCGGCAGAATCAACATTATCATCCACACCATTGTCATCTTCAATGCCACCATCTTCAGCAATAACCTCAACACAAACTTCATCAACCTCACAATCTTTAACTATACCACCATCTACATCATCATCACCAACCATAACGATCTCATTAACAACCTTATCATCAACCCCAGCAGCACAGCCCTCACTATCAGCTGCCTCTACAACATCTTCTTCATCTTCCTTACCATCATCAGCTAACTTGCAGCCTTCATCACCATCACCATCATCTTCATCACCACCAACATTAATATCATTATCAACTTTATCAACATCTTCACCTGTCCCACTATTGTCATCATCACCACCATCTTCAATACCATCAAAAACACAATCGTCATCATCTTCACCATACTCAACACAATCTTCATCAGTACCACTATCATCATCATCATCATCAACAACAACAACACTATCATCTATAACATCTTCATCACTAACATTACCATCATCTTTATCATCATCAACACCATCTTCATCTTTCCCACTATTGTCATCATCATCAACCCCATCAGCACAGCCCTCACTATCAGCAACCTCTGCATCATCATCTTCATTCTTACCATCATCAACAAACTCACAGCCTTTATCATCATCCACACCATCTTTATCACCAACATTACCATCATCATCATTATCAACATCTTCAACACCACCTTCTACATCATCCTCATCATCTTCACCATTCTCAGCACCATCTTTATCAGTCCCATTTTTGTCATCATCATCATCTTATTCTTCAATACAATCATCTACACCATCTTCATCATCAACATTAACATCATCATCTACACCATCTTCATCATTCCCACTATTTTCATCATCATCGCCCCCACCAGCACAGCCCTTACTGTCAGCAACCTCTGCATCATCTACCTCATCCTTACCATCATCAACAGACTCACAGCTTACATCACCATCCACACCATCTTTAACATTAACATCTTTATCATTATCAACATCCTCAGTAATATCAACTCCACCATCCTCTTCATCTTTACCATCCACAGCAGCATCTTCATCAGTCCCACTATTGCCATCATCATCATCATCATCTTCTTCTTCTTCTTCTTCAACATCCTCAGTAATATCAACTCCACCATCCTCTTCATCTTTACCATCCTCAACATCATCTTCATCAGTCCCAATATCAACATCATCTTCTTCAAAACTATTATCTACACCATCTTCATCACCACCATATTCATCATTATCACCATCTTCAATACTATCAACCACACCATCTTCATCACCATCAGCACCATCTTCATCACTCCCACTACTAAAATCATCACCAACCCCCATCAGCACAACCTCTGCATCACCTTCCTCAACCTTACTATCATCAGCATCATCAACACCATCTTCAATACTATCATCTCCACCATCCTCAACATCATCTTCATCAGTCCCAATATCAACATCATCTTCTTCTTCAACACTATTATCTACACCATCTTCATCACCACCATCATCATCACCATCTTCAATAATATCAACAACACCATCTTCATCACTCCCACTACTGAAATCACCACCAACCCCCACCAGCACAACCTCTGCATCATCTTCCTCAACCTTACTATCATCAGCATCATCAACACCATCTTCAATACTATCATCTCCACCATCCTCAACATCATCTTCATCATTCCCAATATCAACATCATTATCTTCTTCTTCAACACTATCTGCACCATCTTCATCGCCAACATTGTCATCATCTTTATCATCAACACCATCATCTACAGCATCCTCATCATCTTCATTAACCTCAGTACCAAATTCATCAGTCCCAATATCAATATCATCATCTTCTTCTAGTTCTACACTATCATCTACACCCTTTTTATTATCTTTATCACCAACATTACCATCATCTTTATCTTTGTCAACACTATCTTCATCATATTCACCATCCTCAGCACCATCTTCATCAGTCCCACTATCATCATCAACTCCAACAACACAGCCCTCACTATCAGCAACCTCTATCTCATCTACTTCATCCTCACCATCTACATCAACAACCACACCATCATCATCACCAATGACACCATCTTTATCAACAACCTTGGCACAACCTTTATCATCCTCACCATCTTCACTATCATCAACTGTACAGCCATCTTCATCATCCCCAACCACAACACTGTCATCGATAACCACAATTTCATCATCCTCATCACCATTTTCACAACCTTCTTCATCCTTGCTATCATCATCCTCATCATCAATAGTAACCTCACCACCATTCTCCTCAATATCATACACATCACCACTATCTTCATCATCCTCGCCACCACCAAATTCACTCCAACCATTACTATCCTCAGCTCTGCCCTCATTATCAGCAAATTCTAAATCATCTTCCTCATCCTTACCATCTTCAGCGAATTCACAGCCTTCATCACCACCTCCAACATCTTCAACATTATCATCAACATCATCTTTATTGTCTCCATCATCTTTATCATCAACGTTACCATCATCTTTATCATCACCATCTTCAATATTATCAACAACTCCATCTGCACCATCCACATCAACATCTTTATCAATTCCATCTACATCATTTACACCATCTTCATCACCAATATTACTTTCATCACCAACATCTTCAAAACGATCATCTACACCATCTTCAGCACCATATTCATCAGTCCCACTATCATCATCATCAACTTCACCAGCACAGCTCTCACTATCAGCAACCTCTACATCATCTTCCACATCCTTACCATCATCAATAAACTCTCAACCTTTATCACCATCTGCATCATCTTCATCACCAACATTATCAACATCTTCAATACAATCATTTACACCATTTTCACCAGTCCCTCTATTGTCAACATCATCATCTTCAACACTATCATCTGCAATATTTTCATCATCTTCACCAACATCTTCATCAGTCCCAATATTGTCATCATCATCTTCAACAATACCATCTACACCACTTTTAATGTCTTCGCAATCTTCATTACCAAGATTACCATCATCAACATCTTCAGTACTATCATCAACACTATTTTCATCATCTTCACCTTCATCCATCCCACTATCATCATCAACC